ATTGCATAGTATTCTATACTTATTAATACTAACACTGGAAAAATATAAAATATTATGTTGTTCCATAAGTTCTGTCCACGGTATACTATATATATATGACTTCATTAAATCAACTTTAAACAATAAATATCGTCGATTGATTTCGCATTAAAAAAAAAAGAAGAAAGAAACTTATAAGACAACCTAATACATATTATTAATCCTAATATTCTTACATAATATATCGTTAACATAATTCATAAATAAAATCTTGTATTAAATTACAAAAAAAAAAGACAGAAAAAAAATGATTGCACATTCGAAGTATCTTACTACGATCTACCTACTTTCTAAATTTCAAAAATTTATTATAATATAAATCATTAAAACACCTTTAGGCAAAACATTCCTCTTCGTATATACAATAAATAAAATAACGTAATCCCATAAACTTTTTTGTACGTTTTCTCTCTCTCTCTCTATCTCTCTCTTTTAGTGAGAGTTGATTAAAAACTGTAAACTCACCATTCCCAAGGTTCAATTCTGCAGCAGAGGCGCAAGACTGTGTTCTCGTTCTTCCAAATTCTATGGCGTTGCTTGGTGGTAACAAAAGTTGATGAGATGCTCTAGAATGATTTCTCGACGTAGACATACGATGCAAATGTATATTGTTTAATATGGTATTACTCGATGCACGACTTAATGCTTCCCTTTGTCTAACTGCCTCTTTATAAATCTTGAAATACATCACGATCATCACTAAACCAGGAATCCAGAAGGAGACTGAGGAACTTATTAAAGCGTACAGCCGATTCACAGCAAACGAGCATACCTAACGATCACAATTCACTTGTTTTTCTAATTTTTTCTTTCTCTTTTTTCTATCCATATATGTACATATTTCCTCTCAATTTAAAATAAAACGATAATTCTTACTTTTTAATTTCTTGTATATGATTTTTTTAACATACGATCTATAATACCTGTTCGATACTTTAATCAAATATCACGTTATATATATATATATATATTCATATTCAATATTTATATATATAAATAATTATT